CTTCTCTTGTTGCGCTCTGCTTTACCTTTGTATCCTTGTTTCTCTTCTTCCTCCACCTTTATCCTTTCTTCTCTCCTGCCTTATGATGTTTACCCATTGCCTCGTTGCCGGCTGTTTTGTTTCTTACTGCTTCTCCTCACTTTTCTTCGTCACTTCTACCTATTTGATTTGTCTATCTTTCTTTCTTATTTGCTATTTTCTGCCTGATCTCTTGTCGCTAATTGCTAATATCTTCTGCCGACATTACTCTGTCCTCCTCTACTCCCTGTTTGTTCTCTTCTTTCCTTATTTCTCCATACCGCTGCTTCTTATTGTCGATTACTGCGTCCTTCCTGCTTGCGTCTCTTGCGTCTCTCATTTGTATGTCTCACGTTTCTATTCCTTATCGTTCCTGTGTACTGCTTGCTGTACTTCTTCTCCCTTTTCTCGTCTCGTATGAGTTTTCCATCTTCCTGCTTCGTACTCATATTGTTACTTGTTTCTTATTTGTTCTTTCTTTTCTCTCGATCCTGTTCTTTCTATATCTTAAGTTAGTCCCTTCCGCATATATCTTCATTGCTGCTTGGTGTATTGTCGTTCTCGATGTTTTATCTCTCCCTTTTTCTTGTCTCTTTGCTGTCGCTCTCTCTGCTGTTTCTCCTCTCGCCTTGCCTACTTGTTTCTACTTCCTCATTGTTTCCATTCATTCTTTCATGCTCTTCCTTTTCTCTTCTCCTTTTCTTCCCTACTATCTTCCATCACGCTTGCCGGTTTGCTGTTCTATTTTTTTTTTTCTGTTTCTCTTATCGCTCTCGTATTTTTCATTCTTGATATGCTTTTCTTATTGTTCTCTTGTCTTCTCCTTCTTATTGGCTCTAACTTGTATTTCTCTCTGCTTTCCGTCTTTTATGATTTATTTTATCTTTGTCTTCTTGATTCCTAGTTTTTACTCTCTTCTTTTCTTACTGTCTTTCCCTCGCTCTTGGTTGTCCCGATCTTATCTCCTGCTTGTACTTTCCTGTATATGTATGTTGTCTTTCTGTCGCTTTCGCTTCTTCTTTATTTAGCTTGCCTCTATCTCGCTTTCTATCATCTTGTCTCTTTCTTATTTGCTTATTTATTCCTTGCTTCTCTCGTTGCTTTCCTTTATATCTTGTTGGTTTTTGATCTATTTCTATTTTTATCTCTTTCTCTCTGTGTTGCTCCTACTTCCCTTGTCATGTCCTCCTTTTTTGTTCTTTTCCTTGTCTCTCTTGTTATCTCTTTTTTCATGTCCTATGTCATTTCCTATATTCGACTGTACTCTGGATTGTAATTGTCTTTTCTACTTGCTTTTATGTTCTTGTCTTCTTCTTTTCTTCTTGTTTACTGTTGTCTCATGTCTTTATTCTATTCCGTTATTCTTCGTTTTTTCATCTTTCGTTCTTCCTGATCTTGTTAGTTTATTTTTTCTTACCTTTTGTCTCTATTGCGTCGGTTTGCTCATTGCTTGTTGTTTCCTTTCTTATTTTTGATTTTTCTCCCTGTTTCTTCTGCTTTGCGTCATTCTTATATTGTCTTTGCTTTCCCATCCTTCTCGTTTCTCGTTAGCTTCGTGACTCTATAACTCGTCATGTTTAGAACTTCACTCCTTTTTCTCTTTATTCCCTCTTCTTCTATAACTTGATGTCTTGTGTTTTTCTTTTTATTCTCGTTCTTTTCTCTCTTTTCTATTTCTCGCTGCTGTCTTCTTTTCTTGTCATACTTCATTATCTTTCCACTCTCGTTCTCCCTATTGTTATTACTTTTTTCCCTTTATCCTTATCACTTCGTCTTATCTTCTTGTTTGTTATGCTTTCTATCTGACGTTCTTTTGTCTTCCTTTCCTGTTTCCTCTTCTGTCTGTTTTCCTTTACTGTTTTTTTCTCGATTGCTCTTGGCTTCTAGCCGTCCCGTCGTTCTTTTTCTATCCATATTGCATTTTGCTTCCTGCTTCTTCTCTTTCTCTCTTGTTCCCTTTAATGTCCTTTGTCTCCCTCTGCTGTCTTTCTCTTGCTCTTGCCCGTTACCATACTATGTCTCTTGCCTTTGTTTATTGTGTATATATTGTCATTATCATGTCGTTTTTTTCGTCTCTCCTGTCTATTATATTTCCTACTACCTTTTTCTTTCTGTCCTTCTTGTCTGCTTTTTTTAATTTTAGCTTGTATCATTTACCTTCTTGCACTTTGTACTTGTTGATTTTCTCCTTCCTGCCATCCTTTTCTTTTCTTCTGCTCCTATTTGATTTCTTTGCTAAGTCGCTTCATTCCTTTCTTTCTCTGTTCTTCCTGTTGTTGCTTATCTCTCTCGTGCTTTCATATGTCTCTTTTTTTCTTGCCTTCCCTTTGTTGCCGTCTTTCCTATTTCCTTCTCCTGTTAATCCCTGCTTATTCTTCCTACCGTCTCTTCTTTTAACTTATTTCTTTTTCGTTGTTCCTTTTTATCGTCTCCTTCTTCTTAGATCCTCATACTTGCTGTGTTACTTTTTTCTCTCTTATTTTTTTTTTCTTAATCGCTCTTCCTCTTTTTCTGGTTTATTTTTTTGTCTGTTGCTTTCGTTCTTCTTCCTGCTTCTTTTCCTTTCTCTTCCTTTGTCCTTTCTATCATGATCATAATTTCCTAGTTCTCTTTCCATGCTTTATTACTTTGTCTTTCTCTTCCTTTCTTCTAGTATGCTAGTTCTGCTCCCTTCTTTCCTCTGTAGTCTCTCATGTTTCTTGCTTGTTATCGCCTTTAATGCGCGTAGCTATTCCTTCAACTATTTCTCGCATTGCTGTCTTGCTGTCTCTCTCCTGCATTTCTCTTCGTACTTTTTGCTTTTTTGTTTTCTCTCTCTCTCTTCTCGCGTTTATTGTTCCTTCTCTATCATGCTTTCCTTTTCCTTATTATTGTTTCTCTCTCCTCCTGCTTCTTGTCCCTTGTTGCCTTCTCTCTCTCTTTCTTATCTCTTTCGTTTACTCCTTCTTACAGTATTTTATCTTGTCGCCTAGTTTTTAATATTGTCTTGATCTTTTACCTTATTCTGTTTTTCTTTCGTTTCCTTCTTTCTTTGTACTATATGTTATCTTCTCTTTTCCTTCCTGCTTTCTTGTTCCCTACTTTCATTTTTGTTTTTTCTTTTGTGTTTCTTCACTTTAACTTTACCACCTAATCTTTCTCGTTTGTTCTCCTTCCCG